TGTTATATATTATACTAAATAATAGTATTTAGAATAGTTCACAAAATTTTGTGAAATTGATTTGGTTCTCAAAAAGCACAACAAAGTTAATTATGAAGATTTTATATAAGAAATTTTCCAAATGACAGAGAAAAACCGTCTGATTTTCTTTTCTATTGCATGTAAAGGTTTTTGTTTACTTTTCATATTTATGAAGTTAAATGCAAAGTTGGAGAGAATTAGCATATTTTACACCAAATATAACTAGATCTCTTGATATTACAGGATCTGCTCTCACATTTATATTTGTAAAGTCAATAGCTTTATGTTTTTACACAGAATGAAACTTTTGGTACCTTCACATGCCATGCTGCATATTTAGTTTAGTTCACATAAATGTCAGGAAATAACTATCAAAAATATTTTTGTATCAGTTGAAGTGATCACACTGTTTTTTAATTTCAAGAGGAGATCTTTGCTGAGGTTGCAAGTTTAGCCTACATCTTTGCTCCTTCTGCCTGAAAGCACTCTATACTGGATCACATCAGAGCCACAGGTTTGGGTTAGATGTGTTTCATGTCCATTTAAATCTAGCTGTTTCTCTCCTCCAGCAATTGGATTCACACTGTCTTACAGTAGGCAGTCACAGCTGCCATGATTGTAAAGTTTTGCTTTTTTATCATGTTTTCTTTTTGAAGAAATGCTATGCACCAGAATGCAGTTGTTACAACTGTAGTGAGAAAGATGTAGGAACCCAGTGTCCAGAAATCAGGAAATGGTAAACTAAAGATGGGAATTCTCTACAGGTTCTTTGTTATACTTTGAATAAAAATACAATAAATGTATATTGGAAATGTTGCTTTGGTGAATTTCTTTCCTGTTGGTAAAGAAAATGAGTACATGCAGCAAAATATTCAGGTCTAGATCTGCTTCTGTGTTGAAGTTCTGTGTCCCATCTTTCCTCCCAAGATCATATTATGCAGCAAATCAGAAAACATGTATAATATACTAGGTATTAAGGTACAGGTTTACCACCCCAATCCCTCTTAATTTGTCACAATGAAATTTATTACATTAATGGAGGCTTTCCTAGTTGATTCTGAGTGTTTCTTCTCCTTTACTTGACAGTTTACAATATACAAGTTCATTTACAATATACAAGTTAATTTATGATGTCCTGAGCCATTCAAGTAAATGGTAGGACCGTGAGAGACAATTGTCCTGATAGTCACCTATGATTGTAACACCTGAATGGAGGCCAGGTAACTCAGTGGGTAGTGCTACCTACCTCTTGGCTTTCCTGGCAAATCCATTTTTGTTTATTCAAAAAGTTTTACAAGCAGTTCTTTATTTTTCTTCTTTCAGGCACAAACTGGCTAAGTCAAATCATAACGGACCTGATAGTTATATTTGAAAAGAAAATATATGGTAGAGAAAGCAGTTTGAAGGATGAAAAACTTGAAGAATTCCCCTACCTTGAAGTTGGAGATGTTGAGAAATATGAGGTGGGAACAGAATATGTATGAAAATTGTCAAAATTATGTGATTCAAGTACAGAATATATGGTGTTGAAATATTCCTTTGTTTGCTAAGAACTCTCCCCCTTCTCCGTGGCATCTGGTCAGGATGAATCTCATTTGCACTACCAAACACTGAGGGATAAATGAACACTTCAGTGGGCTTGAGTGGAGCACATACCCATTAGATACACAAGAACTGCAGAAATTCAACATAGATTGTTTTGTATTTAAGAAGAGCTGTGTGAAATGTTAAATAATGAAATACTAGCTTTTGTCTCTTTTACTACCTAGAGTTAATCCCTTGTCTAACAGAGATGTCAAATTCATTATCACTGAAGAGAATTAACTATGGATAGTCTTTTTTCAGTTGCTCATTCTCAGGGGCTCTTTAATATTAGAGCTACTCAGAGCAGCTGACTAATATCCAGGGTAACACTCACAAAAAAAAGTACTTTTTCAGCCAATAACTGTTGAGAAATTTAGCAAGGCAATATTTTAACATAGACTGATGACAAGAATGCTTGTACTAACTGAACTGTCCACTTTCCTCCTTCCAATTCTTAAAGCGAATGACCAAATTGCCTTCTCCACGATTTATGGCTACTCATCTCTGTCCTGAAAATCTTCCCAAGTCTATCCTCAAAAACAAAGCCAAGGTGAGTGCTGATTTAAATGTCTTGAAAGCAACCACTTCAACAGATATTTTTTTAAAAGCCAGTGTAGTACTTTTCTGCCAATTTTCAGTATCACTCTCATACTTAAGCGTTTAGCCTGGCCAATTCTACATGCCTGTTCAAGGGCTGCCATTCATCTCACTTAACCTCAGTTCATCCTTATAGGGAATTTTGTGACAGTCGCCATAGGCGAGTTGGTGGACTTGAACAAATCCAAATGTATTTTCACACAATTTCCTGTGAGAGGCATTTTATGGTGTTGTCACAAGTGAGGGCTTCAGTCTGTCAAGTTTCAGAGAGAATTTGTATTTTCATGATTTTTCCCTGCTACCTAACTGATGAATGATACTTGTATCAAGCATCAAGATTCTGCATAATTAATTTGGTTAGTCTGTAAAAGTTGCTTTAATAATTACAGAGAATCATCTTCTCATGGTACCAAAGCAAAGTTAAATACTTCACCTTCTGAATTTGGAATGAAATTGCTACTTCTGCAAGTAACATAGAAGATATTAGAAATTCCCCAACTGCAATTATAAACTATCTTATTACTTTTTTCATGATATAGTCTGTTATGTTTTTCTCTACAAGTAATTAATTAATTTTTTTTTCTAGATATTGTTACTGCTTCGTAATCCAAAAGATGTAGCTACATCTTATTACCATTTCTCCAATGGTCTGTCTACTCTTTCCTCCTATGAGACCTGGAATAAATTCTTCAATGATTTCATGACAAAGAGAAGTACAGTATATTATTCTGTGTCAATTATTCAATGCTTTGTCTTTTGTCTAAAAAACCTTGTACTTCAGTAAATCAGCTTAACTCAGATTTTTTGGCTTATAGTACAAGAGCAGAGATTAAAGACAGAAAGTTAGAAATTTGAACTAAAGTTTACAGTACTTATCTTACTACTTGAGGATAAATCCTTGTCAAAACCACACTTCCACGAACTGCTTTAACTTGTATAAACTAACATTTTTTTTCTAGAAGAAGCAGTTGTTCCTTATCTCTATCTTTGATCCCTTTCACCTCTCCTCTCTAATGTCCATCATTTGGTGTCCATGAGGACATATAAACACCTACATGCCAAATTGGATGAAAGGAATTATTTAGATTAAGTGCATTAAAACACAGAATAAGTCAAATACATTAAAACAGAGAGAAAATAATACCACCAGTTGAAAATTGCATAAATTTGGCATAGCACATAGACAGCAGAAGGGAGGGTTCAACAAGGTTTTAAACTGGATTAAGGGAGTCTGCAAGATGATTTGAGTACTGATAACTCTTTGGTGGGCTCACATCTGTCTTGAAATATTAACAAGTTTAACTGTTATGACTTAAAAATGTACCATATACCTGAAACACGTGCATATGTCAGAACAGCCTGGAGCAAAACCCTGTAATTCCCACAGAAGGATGTAAACTCTGCCATAGACATGATTGATAATGCCTGTGTCCGAGGGATCAGTATAAGGAATAAAAATTGCTTTGTTTTTTAAGGTGCTTGTCTAATCTTCATTTATGCTTCATCTTAGGATTCTTTTGTTTTATTTAGTGCCCTGGGGATGCTACCTGGAATACCTTTCCAAATGGAACAAATATGCTGATGATGAAAATGTTATGACAATAACTTATGAAGAGGTGAAAGAGGTGAGTTTACCAATAGTTATGAATATTTTATACTTTCATTTTTCCTAAACCAATTCACCATTATAATCATGTAGGGTATTCAAATTGTATGATACTGTATGAGATAGATTCTTGTTTTAAGGGAAGAAAAGGTACAGTTCAAACTTTAAAAAATTGTAAAAATTTTGTTTCTGAAAAGGATTCTTGTTTTGTCTTTAGATGGTATGTAAGCCCAAATAATTGTATATCAAAATCTCCAGTAATTTTTGGGAGGAGCTGTTATATATTCAACAGTGTAGATTTTGCTCAGCTGTAAATCATAGCTGTAAATAGGAAGACATATCTTCTCCAAAATAATTATGGAAAATTGAAACACTGTGTACCAATCTAGTCCTACTGAACTCTATGAATATTCTAGATACATAGCCAGCAGAGAGATGTCGGGAAGTGTGAATACCCTGGTAAGCACTGTAATTTGTTTGAATGTCATGTTGTATGTTACATTCCTTTTTCCAGAATCCTGCCCAGAGTGTGAAAAACATAGCTGCTTTCATAGGGTTTTCACTGACTGAGGAAGAGCTTCAGCTTGTGATAGACAGGAGTAGCTTCCAGTCAATGAAGAAGAACTCGGAGAACACTCATGGGGCACTGGGCAAAGTTCTCTTTCGCAAAGGTAGGAAGCTCCAAGTGGTTCAGTGGTAGAAATGTCACAGTCTCAATAACTTGGGCCATCCTTTGCTTCTCTTTTTTGCACACACATTAGCATTGCAAGTTAGTATCTAGTGGGTTATCCTTGTTATGCTTGAGAAAGCTAGGCAAGAAGCACTGGTGAGAAAGATACCCAGAAAGACTCTGGCAGCACAGCAAATTTCGGAGGCCCACAGATGGCTGGTAGGAAGAAAGAATTATCATGTGTCTAAAGTCCTTTCTACCTCTGCGCCTAGATCACTGATTCTTCTACCCAAGCTGGAAGAACTGGGCCAAACTCACGCTGAGTGGCAGGATCACACTTTTTAGGGAAGTGTAGGATCTCTAAAAGGGCCACTGCCAATCCCCTGTTCACTCTTATGGGTTAGAAGTAAACCCAGCATGCAAGAATCAGGTACACAGAGGAGGGGAAACAAAAGGGAACTACTTTTGTAGTGTAATGTAGAGGACACATACATGAGAAGGCCAACCTGGCTGTCAGAATCTATTTCTGCATTTTACATTAAAGAAGTCACTGAATGAAAACTCAAGTTGCCAAAAGAGCAGAAACCCATCTCTGCCTCCTGCCAGATGATTCCTGAGCAGTCATTCATGATCTTCCACTTTCTTAGTG